GAATCCATGTTAATTGAACAAAACAACCCCACTCTAAACCAACTCCCTGGGGTGCCAAGATACTTCTTCTAAGTTTTGCAACAGTATCCGGTCATGTGAACTCTTTGTTCGATACTGTATATATCTATATCTGTGTCAGTGTAAACTACTTGTACCTAATGATGACAAAAACCTTGCCGAAATGTTGTACATTTGTTGTTATGTTTCTTCATTACCCATTCAAGCCGTCTTCAAGCACTGTTAATCTCAAAGTGGGTTCCTTGTCATGAAATTAGTAAAAGTTCCAGTTATGCCAAATGTTTGCTGCTGTATTTTTGTACAACTAAGTTTTGTCGATCAAGCAAACTTACATGTTAAAATTCAAAGCTATATTTTTTAGTAAACTAACACACATATAAAGCACATGGAATACTACCAAAATTAAGTAACTTGAGATAAATATTCATACCTCCCACCTGTCCAATATCAAAGGCTCTGAATTATGAATAATCATCACCTCTTCTTCATCAGGTTCTTGGTAGGGCATAAAAGCCTCTGTGATGTTTTCCAGTAGAGAAGTTATCCCTTCTTTGGCTTTACCAGCCATAGATTCTGTACTGTCAACCTTAAATAAGAGAAATATTCAATATGTTAGCAATGTAATTGATACGTAAAATTAGTTTATATATGGAAATATGAAACATACTTGCCCAAATATGGTAACAAATCCCATACTATGTACAAACAACTGAGCACAATAGTTTTAACATAACATACAGACAAGGGACCAATTAGTTCATTGAAAAGTAAAAACCTGAAGACAGTATTCTTCAGGAAATAATTGATTAACCTTTTAAACTCTAGTGAAGTGCCAGCATCTAATACAGCTAGCAGCGACTCATTCCACAAATCTCTTAGAAAAATAACACTGTCTTAACTGGAACCTAGCCTGTCTTTTTCAAATAGTAAACTAGTCTTGTCATCCTACTGTATTCAGAATATAACACAAAACTATGATCAGCTCTCACCAGCCCAGCTAGACTAATAATAGAAAATCTTATGCCAATTTTTTTATGTTTTTAAGTCTGGGGATATACATTACATTTACTTCTGAAGTGACATGGAAATTTCTTTTGTCTTGTACGTTTTCAGATTTAGATGTATCCCCGTAAAACTTCACACTCTTTGGATTTCTTATATCAGTGATAAAGACATGTGTTGTTACCCCCCAGTCCTTTCTTCAGGAGAAGATTTGGGAGATAATGGTTTTATCTCATTTAAGCAAATGTGTATGTACAAGTGTGACTGCACTGGTACAATGATATCAGTCAGAATATGTGATATAGTGATATAAAACTAAAAAAAACAGTAGAAAAATCAGCAGATACAGCCTCTTTTTCCTCATTTTATACAGATATTGGTTAATTTATCCAATTCAAGCCAAAGTTTGTGGTTACCTTCCCTTTTCTGACTGTTGAGTCTGCTGTTTCGACATCATTGCCAATACTCTAGCAGGAAAGAATGTGTGGGTATTACATAATGACATAAATATTCATGAAGGTTACACCATATATCGAGGCCATACCATTAAGAATGTCAAGATTTGGAAAAATTTTATTTGAGTTTCATATTTTTTGTGATTCTATAGTTATAACATAAAGTCAAATTCAGTTTAACGTTCATTGAAAATTTCCCAAGTTTCTGTAATGATGTAGGCTTCATGATTTATCCATACACATTGAACATAGAGGGAATAATTTGATCTGTTTGATAGTTTTTTGATTCCCAAGAACCCTTAAGGACACTGATCAACCTGAAGAAGACAGCCCCTTGAACACGAAGTTCGTGTGTCATGAGATATATTCTGGTATGTGTTGCCCCATTTTTCCTAATCTCAAAGTTCTGTGTTCTATTATTGGAATTTGACTTACAGGTCTAGATACGTATTTTATAAACATGATAATTCACGTGTTAAGCAAATGTATCTTATTTAAAGACAAACAATCTCTGGTTGTTTCAGTTAAAAAGATAAATCCTTGCATAGGGCAGGTACTTTCAAACTTCAGTGGCACAAGCAAATGAGAATGGTGACCAATTCTCCCCAACCCCCAGGATGGGGTACCAGATCATCGCATGTTCACTCCTTGCTGACAGCTGGGTAGACTGAAACAAGTGGTGTAAAGCGTCTTGCTCAAGGATACAACATT